TGTTGGCGAGGCAAGGCCTGTGTATATATAAATATATATATATATGTATATAAATATATATATATGTATATAAATATATATATATATATATATATATATATATATATATATATATATATATACATATATTTAATCTTTGAATGTCATTTTCTTGTTATACGTTAAAATATGGTTAGAATTCAATAAATACGGCTGCGTATAAACTTCTTTTAAATATATATATATTTTTTCTTTAATATATAATTATTTCGATATTTCGCTGATCTATTGTGATCAGCGTCATCAGGTATAATAAATAAAATAGTTACAAAAATCGTTATAGTAAAAACAAATCGTTAAAAAGATAACATTAAAAAGCCAAAAAACATATATATTTAAAAAAAGTTTATACGCAGCCGTATTTATTGAATTCTAACCATATATATATATATATATATATATATATATATATATATATATATATATATATATATATATATATATATATATATATATATATATATATATATATATATATATACTCATAGCAGTTAAGGTGTTTTTTAAGAAATTGCAATCAGTGGGTTATTAGTTTAAACAATCAATTTAATTCGATTATATTTGGTCTGCAAAAAAAAAATGTTTAGATTGTTTAAACAAAAATGTTACTGTGTTATGAAATTATTTATATTAATTAAAAAAAAGTTAATTTTAAAATGAGTAGCACAAAAGTTTAAATAAATTTTTACCAACAAAAAAAAAATGGAATAAAAAATGCAAAATTATTATTTAAAATGTCTGCATTTGTTTTTATAGCAAAGATAAACTTGTTTCTGCATTGATTCAACAAATTTCATGCACATCTCTAAAGGTACCTTCAACCAGTACTCATTCAAAAGTTGCTTTAAGTTCGGTTGATTGTATTTGGTGATAAGTAAGTGGTTGCAAAAACCGTTCTGAATATTTCTCTGTTGCAAATCTTTTGACATATATTCTTCCCTTGCGGTTTACAACTTGAAAATTGGCTTCATCACTCCAAATGACTATTAACCAGTCTTCAACAGTCCAGCTCAATCTTTTTTTTGACCATATTGCCGTTTATGTTGGTCCAATTATTGATAAAATATGTTTTCTTGCTGCAATAAACGTTCCAATACCTTTTTACAGCAATGTAGCTTTTTGTAGGTGTGCCTATATTTCTCTCTGCAGATTCTGAATATGCTACTTTTGTCCCAGTCACTAAGCTTCGATGGTATCCTGGACCATCGAAGCTCAATGAACTCGATTTAAACTTTTGAACTCATTTAAACTTTTGTGCTACTTATTTTTTTGTATTTTTATAATTAAATTTTTTTTAATTAATATAAGTAATTTCATAACCAGTTCACATTTATTGTACACCTAATTTCTTTTTCTTTAATAAATAAAAAAAATTAACTCACATCATTTTTACTTTTTTTTTAAGAAAAAACTAAACCTACTTGATCAAAATTATACCCTTGTTTAAACTTTGGTGAATAGCTGTATGCCTATCAAAATTTTGTTATATAATTTAATAAAATATAATTACGGTATATATTGAAATCCTAACTTTAGCTTTAATTTCCAAACTGTTGAAATCTCAAGCTCTTTAATTGTATTTTTGAGTGATTACTTTGCTTGATGCAGGAATAATTTTCACTATTGCAAAGACATTTAAAAAATAGAATATTACTCAAGGAAACAAAAGAAAAAAAGCTACCACCATATTTTTGTTTATTTTTACTTATTATGCAAAGAAGGTTTTTACTTAAAGTGAAAAAAAAAACTGTTAAAAACACTGTTAGGAAATACTTTGTAAAAATTTTAGCTCTTTTGATCATGGACAAATGAAAGTTTTGAAATTTTATTTAAAACAATTCGAATCAAATTGACAAAAAGAAATTCAAAAAGAAGCAAAACCCTGAAGAAATTTAAAAAGAGACTTTATAAAAGTCTTAAATTCTGTATAAACAAGAAAAAAATCACTTATAAATTTTTTTAGAATAAAAGCAGATGAAATTGTATTACCATATAAAAATTTCATTTGTTTCATTTCATTTAAAACCTAAGTTATAGATTGTCAAAGATTTTTTTTTTTTTAATTTTAATTCAAATTTTACCAATTAGCACTAACTACATCAAATATATAAAAGAATTTTTTAATACATTTACATACAATAAAGAGCAAATGAAAAAATTTCTTGCCTCAAAAGAAATTAGTTGCATGAAACAAAGTAAAAATCCATAAAAATTATGTTTCATATAGTGTTATTTTTTATTTTTTGTTAGCCCACCTCCCCAAGGCTGGGAAGGTGACAGCCAAGAAGACTACTGAATTGTGGTTCTCTCTCTCAACTCTGGCAAGAGTTGAGAGAAAAGCTGAGGAAGGAAATAGGTTGAGAGAAAGGCTGAAGAAGGAAAGGCTGAAGAAGGAAAGGCTGAGGAAGGAAATAGGTTGAGAGAAAGACTAAAGAAGGAAAGGCTGAAGAAGGAAATAGGTTGAGAGAAAGGCTGAGGAAGGAAAGGCTGAGGAAGGAAATAGGTTGAGAGAAAGGCTTATTTTTTGCAAATCTGTTCCTAGCAAAATTATAAGATTTAGTAGGGGTTAATAGCCGGGGCTAAAAATGAATTTATAATTCTTTATATATTAAAATTTATTAAATTCTGGCATATATTTATGCTAGTATTTAATAAATAAGGACAAATACAGTAAAAGAATGCAATTTGTTGAATAAGAAGCCAAGCAAGAATGAGTTTTGGTTTATTGTAATAGAGATGATAGCTCATTTGAGCATTGACCAGGATTAGAGAAACAAAATAAAAGAGGAAGGCTAAAGCCTGATGATGTCATCATCAGCAGCAGATGATGATGATAATGACAGTGACAATAATGATGATAATGATGATGGTGATGATAATAATAATGATAATGATGATGATGACAATTATAATGATTATGATCATGATAATGATGGCCATGTTGATCATAGTGATGTTTATAAATACATATAAACAAAATCAAATATGAATTATGAAGAAAAAAAAAAAACTATTTTAGGATGTATAGATGTTTATGCAGCCCTGGTCAAAAACGCGGCCTCGGCCCTGGCCCGGCTATATTTTATCAAACCCAACCCCAGCCCCGGTCAAATATTAACCCCGGTCGTTTAATACACCAAATATTATTATGTTTTAAAGATGGCTGTGATAACGTAGGGGTTCAATAACTATTGATGCCGTGTTTCATAGCAAATCAAAATGAAATAAAAAAAAACTCCATATACTAAAATGCAAATGAATTTATAAAAACGTAAAATTCACAAATTTTTTTAAGATTTTTGTCTCCATTATTTTAAAAAGATGCAGAACAGAGAATGATCAATATCTGTTATATTTGTTTTCCTGACTACAGAAAACGCATAAAAAAACTAAAAGATATTTGCAGCAACAACCATAATCATAAACAACATTTTTCAATGTAAAAAAAAATTATTTTAAATTGAAACAAATAATTTTAAATTTGAATATAACAAACTTGGAGGTGCGAATTGTATAAAAGGTGTCCCATAAAGCATACAAAACTTCTAAGTTCTTTTTTTTTTAAGAGATTCACTTTTCTCTAAAAGGACTTATTATATCAGATAAATTTTTAGTGAAAAAGATTTTATACATGATATAATCATTTAAACAAATATTGACATAAAAAAATTTAAAAAGTACCAAAAACAAGACACAACATCAAAGATTTTCAACGATTTAAATGGTTCAGTTGCTGTTTGTACAGTCTGAAGAATGCACAAAATGATAAAGAATAGAGGTACTATTGAAAATCATGACCTAATCCATCAAAAACTGCAGGCACAAAAACAGACATTAGCTAAGTAAAAACCTAAAGAAAAAGGTATCCCTTAGAATATTGGCAAAAGAAATTTTAACTACACAGGATTCCATTCACCTAATACTTAAAAGCTAAGTTTGCAAATTTGGTATGAAATAATTTTATATAAAAAAAAGAAATATTACAAATTTAATGTTAAACAAAACAAGAGTTTCAAGGCTATAAATTATGGAGGAACAGATGGAAATAAATTGTGGAAAAGCAGATGGAAATAAATTGTGGAAGAGCAGATGGAAATAAATTGTGGAGAATCGTTATTCAATTCTCATCCTTAAGAATATTAAGTCCAAGTTAAAACTTCATCTTTTCTCTTCCAGTAACTTCCAGCTCTAATAGCGGTTGCTTGCAGCCTTGTTGGTTGCTTTTTGGAAATGAAAATATTAAAAAAAAAAAAAAAAAAATAGCTTTATAGAAAAGTTGATCATTAAAATACCTTGATAAATAGTTTTAATTTATTTGGTAATTTAGTTAATTCAGCAATTAATAAAAATCTTACAAAAATTTTTTAAAGCTTGCCGGAGCTTGGCGCCAGGCTTTGCTATGCTGACGAGTTTGATAGTTCTATTATTTGCTCTGATGCTGCAACCATGACTTGAAAATATTGACAGATTTTAAGTTGCTGGAGAGTGCATTCCATGGTACACATGATGATATCTTTTTAAAGGCTTTAGCTAAATTGGTAGGGATAACATGGATAGATTTGTTACAATTTGTGGCTTCAGTACGAATATCAGGAGATTCTAACAGATTCATCGTGCCTCCTTTTATTTTCACAAAACTATGCTGAGCTTTAGTAATTATACCTTGGTTAGCAAGTGATTGGAGATTGATTTGTGTATTAATCCCCTTAAGTACTTTACACAGAATAGATGTTATCAAGAATGGTCTATAGTTACTACAATTCAACTTGTATACATTTTTAAATATTAGCGCAACTTCCAATTTCTTCCACATATCTGGAACTTCTGGAGATGTAATTGAGGAATTAAAGTTAAGTGTTAGGTGTACTGCAAAAGGTTCTGACATTTAAAGGTAAGTAATAAAATATGTTAAATATATAATTAAAAATTATAAAAAAATATTAAAATTTAGAAAATGAAACCTTTTTTCAAGTTCAATTTTTGCATGAATCATTTTTTGTAAGTATTCCTCTCGGAGAATCTGGGTAGTTGCTGTCAGCAATCTATAGTACTCATCTGCAGGCAGTGTTCTATTACCCTCACCTGATCTTATTAATGGAAGTGAAGAATTTCTTTTAAGTATCTTGGCAATATGAGTATCAAAAGAACCAAGACCACGCAGCTGACGTAGAGGTGAATTAAATTTACAAACACTTGTACTAAAAAAAAATGTTTAAAGTTAGACAATATTTATTGTATAATGTTTAAATTTTTTTTATTTATTGTAAAAGTGTTTTCAAAAAAAATTTTCACTTAATATAATCATTTTGACTTTGTTTCATCACCACTACTAAAAATCACTTTTTACTACTTTATTTTAACCTTAATTATAATAAGAAATATTAAAATGTAATAACTTGGATCCATATCCTGTATTATATTCTATATTTCTCTTAAGTATCATAATGACAAGTTTCATAATTTTCTTGAAAAGTAGTAAAAAAAGTTTTGTTCATTGTTCAATAACAAAAAAAAAAAAAGTTTTTAACTTTTTATTTTTTTGTTATTGATCAATGCTTTTTATAAAACAATTCTATTTTGCAAAATGTAATATTTTGGCTTACATGGAAAATACTTGGCAAAATAAAATTTTTTCTAACATTAAAAAAAAAATTTGAATTTTAGCATGAAGACCTTTTTAGAAATTGTGTTAAGATTTAACCATTAATGGTTAATAAAATTTATGTAAGTGGTTTAAACCCATGTTAGTGGTTCATATATTTCCTTCACTTGTTGGCATTATCTTTTGATTTAATAACATTGTAACCTTTCAAAAAATTTAATTCATTCATTCATTGATTAGTGAATACCTCTTTAGCTAATATTTTGCATGTTCTTACTTCTCCCCAATCTCAATGTATTTTTGTAGTTATGTGTGTGTGTGTGTGCGTGTGTGTGTGTGTGTGTGTGTGTGTGTGTGTGTGTGTGTGTGTGTGTGTGTGTGTGTGTGTGTGTATAAAAGATACCATGTTTTACAAAAAAATCTGAATAGGACTCACAAAATGACATTGGTAGCATTGACTTAATGCTACTAATGTCATTATGTGAGTCTTATTCAGATTTTTTTGTTTAAAAAAATTCAAAGAAGATTGCTTGCGTAATGATGTAAAAAATCATTATGCAAATTTCAATTAAAAAAAATGAACAATTATAATAACTTATTTAATAATCTGGCAAATAAAATATTGCTCACTTAAAATTCTTCGACTCTAATATATGTGGACTAGATCTAAATTAAAGTACATAAAGAATAAAACAATTAAAACTTATAAAAATTCATAACTTAATGTTTATAAAAAAATTAATTTTTACAACTATATTTATATAAACTATATAAATATTAAAAAAGTAGAAAAAAAAAAGTTACAGAAAGTTAAAACTTAAAAAAATATATATATATTTAAAAAAAAAAAAAAAAATTAAAGTAAATTAAAGCATTTTTAAAAGAAAACAAAAAGAAAAAATGTTATTTATTTTAGGTGGAATGACAAATTTTGTGAACTAAGAAAGTTGACCTATACAAGGCCACCTATACAAGGTAAAAACATATACATTCCAATTAACAAAAGGATAAAATTAAAATCAAACTATTATGCCAAAGAAAATATTTTTTATTCTCTATTGCACATAAAAACAGAATGACAAAAACTTTTACAGTACTAAAAATTTTGCAAACAAAACAATAATCTAAACTTTCTACAAGTGTTAGCTGCTGAAGGCAACAAGCAGTTCTGTACATATAATCTTACTCTGGGTGATCAACTCTTCATTTAAACCTTTGCTATATGGGCTTTATTCTCATCAATAAATTGTTTGATGTGATAAAATAAAGTTTTAGGGTAATGCTGCTGTTTGACAATAGCACAATTTGACAATTTATGTTGATCTTGAATTATGATATAAATCTTATTAAATCAACATTTTATTTATTTATTTTTTGACCTTCTGTATAATTTTTTAATGGAAGATTTTTAAGTTACACATTTTATTTAATTGTAAACTTTTTATAGTTATTTTAAAACAAAAACTCTAATAACTTATTTTAAAATATATCTTATTATTATTATTTTTATTATTAAATAACTAATTTCTAATTAAAACATTTAAATTTGTAAATGAATAATTTCTTAAACTTTTCCCCTAAACAATAATCAATGTTTCATACAGTGCCCTATAAGTAATAGCTTTAGTCTAATTTTTTATTGATTTATATTTTATACAATGTGCAAATAGCTTTATAATAGCTTTTTATTGGTTGATTTTTAAATTACTGCACAAATTTTTTAGACCTTTAGAAATAAAATTTTTTGTCTTACAACTTTTTTTTTAAATTAGTAACCTCTAAGTTACCTGGTTTTTAAAAAAACAATAATTAAAATACGTAAGTTTTGACTGTTATTATTTTTGCAGTAGTAAATATATTGTTTTGTTTTTTCATTAACTTTTGCAATAAATTGACTATTTTATCTAAACTGTGTTCACGGTTTTTAATAAACTAAGAATCACCAGAAATATTTCTGGATATTGAAATTTGCAATCACTTATTTTGAGCCATGTATATTATATATATATATATATATATATATATATATATATATATATATATATATATATATATATATATATATATATATATATATATATATATATATATATATATATATATATATATATATATATATATATATATATATATATTTATATATATATATATATATATATATATATATATATATATATATATATATATATATATATATATATATATATATGTTATGTTACATTATATTACTTTTTTTTATATATAGCTAATTTCTCTATGGTTTTAAGTTTTCTGAGGATCCACACTTGCATGGTTTGGATGAAAACAGCTTAATTGCCCCCTCCCCCTTCCCCTTCTTCTTGTAAATCAACTGAATATCGGTTATGTATAAATCAAACATGTGAAAAATAACCAACAATTCTGATCATCTAAACTTTGTAGATGTAAAGAAAAAAAAAAAAAAAGAAAAAAAAAATAATAATTAAGTAACATCATTTCTTTTCCAGGATAGAAAGTAAAAACACATGCAGAAAAACTTGGAATAATGTTTTGGACAACATCAAAGAGATGAAATTAATTAAAATAGGATTAAGGCTTAAATATAGAAAAAATGTGCAAGATGATAAGTAAAAAGATGTTAAAAGGATAATAATAATGATGAAATTTAAAATTTTATGTATGATTTTTTGACCCCTTAAAAATCCTAAAAATTATGACTCATCATATTTACCCAGGTCCATTGTCAAAATTAGGCCTGTTATTAGTTAGTCACTACATGAACCTTAATAACATCATTTTTTTTTCTATTTAATAGTACTGGCATGGTAATTGCAGTAATAATAAATGAAAAGTTGTTTGTTCAATAACAAGTAACAAGAAATGAAAATTGTTTACTTAATGCTGTTCAAGAAGAAACCTCATAAAAAGTTTCTTCTTGAGTATCATTATGATATCTCAGCATTTTCTTACATGCCCAATACAACAAAAAACTTGTTTCTCTTAAAAAATTTTAAACTAACTTTTCACATCACTTCTCTTTTAACATCTATGCCTCAAAATTCTCTTCATAATTTCAAATATCCTGATTAATATTTTTTTCTTGTTTATTTTATATTTATTTTATACTAATCTGTTTTTTGAATTCCAAAAAGCCTAAAGCATTAATGTATTAACCAAAAATTTATTAAATTTATAAAAATTCATTGAGTTGTAAAAACAAGAGCAAAAATCATACGTACTTTGGAATTGAAAGTTTTGTAAATTCACCAGAGTGAAGAAGACACAAAATATTTTCATTTGCTAATACACATCCATTAATAGCAGAACACAAACTACGAATAAAATAGCAGAACACAAACTAAAAATATTGTTGTTTCATTATTAAACCAACAGTAAAAAAAAAAAAAAAAGACCTACAACCATGCCCAAATATTTAAAAGCAGAATACTTAAAACAAAGGATTTTTTTCTTTTCCTTATATTATTAAGTCAAAACTAATGTCAAATTTAAAATAATAATACCTGTTTATAGACGGTTGTGTGCAAAGAAGATAAGAAACTTCTGCAGGTGTCTCAAATAAAACCTCTTCACAGTTCAAATCTTATTAAAAAAACAAGTAAAATTGGAAAGTTCTAGAAACTTACTCTTTTTAAAATATATAATTTCAAATAACAAACCATTTTCAACCATTGCACTTATGTCATCTATCCAAGGTAAGTTAATAAAATGAACACCTCCATTACTCAAAGCTATATAATTACCAGTTTGATTCTTATCTAAATAAATTTTTTTTTTTTTTTTTTAAATAATTAAAACTATAAACATTAAACAGATCTTATAATTAGAGACAGATATCCTATAACTAAAAAGAGCTTGTTAGCCATGGTGAAACCAACTTTCATAGATGGGGTAACAATTTAATAGAAAACCCCCACATTATTACCAGGTAAACAATAAAGGAGCTTGGGAGCTTTGCAGTCTTATTGGGAGCCCTTTGGCAACCCTGGAAACCCCTGCTGTAAAAAAAAAATTGAAATCTGCTGTAAAAAAAAAAATTGAAATTTGACAGAAAAGAGAGTTAAAACAAGAGTGAGAATTTAAAAATTGTAAAAAAAAATGAGAAAAAAAAACAGAGAGAAGAAAATTTAAAGCTATTGTTATTTAGTAAAAAATCTGTATTAATAAAAGTTTTGAATAGTTACAGTAAAAAAGTCACACAAGAATATTTTGTCTGCCAGCAACCATAGTAAAATGAAATATGATAATGATGATGAGACCGAACAGAGACTTATGTTATAGAGACAAAAAATGAAACAAGAGACATGTTATAGAGAAAACGATGAGGCATCAAATAAGAGACATGTTAGAGACAAGGATCAAGGATAAGGAGACAAATAAGAAACTTATGTCATAGAGCAGGGCTCGAAATCACAAACTTTTTTGTTCCGGACAAATTGTCCAATGAATACTCAAGTTTGATGGACATGCCCGATAAGAATGAAAGAAGTGCGATTTAATGCCATTCCTGACCAGGCATAAAATATTTTGTTTTTACAAAGTGACCACACAATTTATTTTGACAACTGTAGGCGTTTCAAAATGCTCTGAAAATAAAAAGAAAAACTCATAGAAAAAGAAAAAATCTAAGTTCAAAAAGCTAAAATTTGAAAAGGAAAATATACTTATATTGCGTTTTTCAAAAACTACTATACTTTGCAAAATGCTTTGTAAATTAATAAATACACAAATTATTATGTAAATTTATTAAATACATAAATTATGTAATTATTAATACATAATAAAATATATAATAAAAATGTATAACAAAAATACAAAATTATAAATACATAAATTACTATGTAAACTTTACTAATTACATTTTTAAATAAAGAAACAAATTAATTATGTTTACAATAAAACCCATTTTATTTAAATTATCAAGGAATATTATACATAAATACATTTATTTAAATATGTATTTTTTTATAAACCCTTTCAAACTTTCTCTAGAATTAATTTTATAAACACTTTTAATAGTGAACATTTTTAGCACGAAAACAAATAATACAAAACAACTCAAATTTAATAGCGTAATAAAAAATAAAATAAATACTAAACTATAAAATTAATTTAATAATTAATTACAACGTTTTAATATAAATGATAAAAAATGGCCTACTTAATTCAAAAAAATACTTTGGCAATTATTTAAAAAATAAATTAACTCAAAAAAATGACGTACTTTATTAACATAGCTGTGTGCTCAACTTCAAGTTTTGTTTTGTAGGAAAAATAAAAAGTTGAAAAAATTTATATACAACACTGAATTTATTAACAATTTTGCAATAACGAAAACAATTAGAAAATAAATGTACATAAAATATGGGTTGGACAAAATGACAGATAGATGACAATTTTTACAGGACAAGTGCCGGACAATGTCCAATGTCTGGACAATGTTCAAGCCCTGTTATAGAGACAACGATGATGAAACAAAAAAGAGATTGTTATAGAGTTCTGTTATAGAGAAAATGGAATCAGGAGAAAGAAAATGGCAAACACAAAAAAAGATAAAAGATAAGATCATCAAAAAAATGCTAGATAATAGACAGATAAAAAACCAGATCAGAGATAAAACTTTAGGGTACCCCAAAAATTAAAGGAAATAAAAGAGTATTAGACAGCAGTAACATCTGTGATAGTTAAAAAGTTACTGCAGTTAGAAATGTATTCAACAGTTTTAAAGATATTATCATATGAAGAGATAAAAAAAAGTTCTTTGCAAAGAGATAAAAAAAAGTTCTTTGCAAGTGGTTCTTATCAATAGGAGGAGTAACTACATCAGATTCTTGTATAATATATGAATTGTTAAACTGGTATTTGTTAAAATTTAACAATTTTTGTTAAAAAAACATTTAACTGTTAAAAATTTTGTTATATAACTTCTGAAATCAAAAACAATAATGCCAGTGTTATTAGAGACAAAATATATGCGACTTTGTTATTCAAGTTGTTATTCAACTTTGTCGTTATTCAAGTTGAGAGAAAAACAGAAAGCATAGAAAAGAGTTAAAGAAATCAATTAAAAGAAGATTTAAAAAACTGATAGCTTGAGCAGCAACCATGGTGGTATTTGTGAGAAAAAAAAAAGAGATGCAACTTTAGAGTGATAGGACAATGGCAAACTTTACAGTGATGTGACAATGGCAAACTTTGCAATTAGAAAAGGTCCAACAGCATTTACAAAGCAATTTTGGTTCTTGTCTAAACAGAGAGAGTACCAACAACAACAACAACAACAACAACAGCAACAACAACAATAACAACAACAACAACAACAAGTATTCAATACAACAGTATTCCATACAAAGATGATTGAAAAATCGAATTATAAAATATATAAATAATATCGAAATACAAAAAATAGAATTTGAAAATGGAATCAGAAGCAGGAAAATAGTTACAAAATTTCGGAATAAAATTAAATTTTATAAAGAAAATAAAGATGTTTATTACAAATATGATGTTATAAAAAAAAAAAAAAAAATGTTTATTACAAATACAGCAGTGTTAATAAAGAAAATAAAGATGTTTATTACAAATATGATGTTATAAAAAAAAAAAAAATGTTTATTACAAATACAGCAGTGTTAATAAAGAAAATAAAGATGTTTATTACAAATACAGCAGTGTTAATATAGAAAATAAAGATGTTTATTAGAAAATGCAGCAGTGTTAATAAAGAAAATAAAGATGTTTTTACAAATGCAGCAGTATTAATAAAAAAAATAAAGATGTTTATTACAAATGCAGCAGTGTTAATTAAGAAAATAAAGATGTTTATTACAAATACAGCAGTTATTAAAGAAAATAAAGATGGCATTTATAAAAGTCAAGAAAAGACAAATGCTGTTGTTTAAAGAACATTGTAATCCAGGTAAAACTTATAAACAGCAGAATGTTACAAATGGATGCCCAACCAATACTGTATCTAAACTCTATCATCATCATTATCTTATTTTACAAATATAATGGAAATCTTTTCTTGAAAAAGATTTTTTTATGTATGTAATTTTTAAACTAAGCAAAGTTGACCGGGATCATCTATTTTTATGTATGTAATTTTGAACTAAGCAAAGTTGACTGGGATCAAGCAAAGTTGATCAACAAAAAAATGATCACTATTCTTAAAATATTCTTGAACATGTTCTTAAAAGAATACAACCGGCTGATAAACATATTCTTACAACAGGCTGATAAACATTTGTATACCTGTAAAATGCTCTAAAAACCTCAAAATGTAACCACCTTGGATAAACAGATCCCTAAAACATTTAATTAAAAGAAAAAAACGACTATGGAAACTAGTACAGCAAACTTGTTCAAAAATTATATCCATTGTCAACAATTATAAAGTAAAAGAAGTAAAAAGAGTATTAAAAAAATTATGAAAAATATATTGTAGGTGATAAATCAAATAAAAAGTGATTATATGGTATATGAAACTGAAGCAAACAGCATCCAAGTTAATAAGCAATATGAAAAATACCGATAGCTCAGAATCAAAATCTGGAACAGACATTAGCAACATTCTTAACAATTATTTGAAATCTGTAATTGCAGAGGAATCAAATAAAGTACTGGTGCCACATTTTAAGAATCATACATTAACAAATATAAGACTTCCCACTCTATTCATTAAAGATATTAGCAAACGCCTTTCAACTTGGACATTAACAAAGATTCAAGGGTTGATGGAGTTCACCCTTGGGCACTAAAAGCATGCCACCTAGAATTTTACAAGCCACTCTTTATGATATTTTCAAGATCTTTACAGGAAGGAGTTATCCCTGACATGTGGAGATTAGCCAATATGACACAGTTACATAAGAGTGGTAATCGTAGTAACCCAGGAAACTATCGCCCAATTTTCTTGATTTTAATTCCATGTAAGGATTTGGAGAGAATCATAAAAGACATAGTTATGAATCATCTCTACTTGAATAAACTTATAGCCAAACAACACAGATTTGTTCCCAATTAAGGTTGTGTTACTAATTTATTGGAAACATTAGATAAAGTCACGACAATACTCTCAAAAAAACAGGGGGCTGATATAGTTTTTTTAGAATTTGCCAGAGCATTCGACAAAGTGCCACATCTAAGACTTTTACAAAAATTACAAGCATTTGGCATAAATTGAAAATTATTAAAAGCATTTCAAATTGGGCCAATGTCACTAGCGGCGTACCACAAAGTGTGCTGGGACCACTGTTATTTATAATCTATATAAATGATCTTCTAAATGTCTTAAAATATTATTCCTGTAAGCTTTATGCTAATGACAGTAAATTAATAACCAGGATATCAAATGAAGAAGATTCCCAAAAATTACAAAGAGAAATAAATACAATTGTAACTTGGGCAGAAATTTGGCTCATGAAACTAAATGTTGATAAATGTAAAGTTACGCATTTTGGCTATGGTAACCCTAAATTTAGTTACAATATATCCTTTGGAAAAACTTGTCATGCCTTAGTCTCAACAGACTCTGAATGCGATCTTGGTGTGACAATCACTTCTAATCTTAATTGGAAAACGCATGCAACAAAATGTGCTTCCAAAGCCAACAGTATCTTGGGATGGATGAAAAGCGCTTTCCTGAGTAGGGATATAAACCTCTGGAAAAATTTATACATAACCTGTTAGACCTCATTTAGAGTTTGCTGTGCCTGCATGTAATGTATACTTAAAAAAAGATATAAAATGCATTGAGCATGTTTAATATATGGCCACAAAAGTCTCTCACTCGCTTAAAAATTTTGATTATGAAAAAAGATTGGAAATTCTTAATCTTACTACTTAAACAGATAAAAAAACGTGTGCAGACTTCATTTAACAGTACAAAGTTGAGAACAAAATAGATCATGCAAACTGGTATACTAAACCAGAAACTTTTGCTCCACAACAAGGACATTGCAGATGGTTACATTGCAAAAATGTAAAAAACTGTGCACACCGACACAACTTTTTCATTAACAGAATTGTTAATCACTGGAATAGTTTGACGATTCGACTGTGTTCCAGAAAAGTGTTGAAAGTTTTAAGAACAGTTTTGACAGAAAGATAAATCAGATACTAAGATATAACAATTAACAATCACTGGCACTAAGCCACTGATCTGCTTATAGCAGAACATGTACTCATATTCTTTTCCAAGAGTTTCCCTCCTAGCAGTGTGTAATAATAATAATAATGTTCTTTCCAAATTTTTTTCTTCTAATATTGTTCTTTCCAAATCTTTTTCTACTTCTTCTTTTTCTGTCAACTAAACAACTGTCAATTGAACAACTGTCGCCAAACAACTGTCAATTGAATAATTGTCGCTAAACAAATGTCAATTGAACAACTGTCAACTAAACAAATGTCAATTGAACAAATAAGAAATTAATACAGAATAAGTTTTTACATATCAAAACATTAATTGATATAATTTCTTTGATATAAAGTTTTTCATTGTTATGTTTTTTTGATATGAATTGAAAACTATCAAAAAATTTCCTGTAGAAAGTTCTACAAAAATTAATTTTTTTTTTTTTTCTCAACATCATCGCTTCCAACAAGGCTGCAAGCAACCACTATTAGAGTTGGAAAAGAAAAGATGAAGTTTGTAGAGCAAGATAATGATTAACAGACGACTTAAAAGATTGCAAATTATATGAATCAGGAAAGCAAAATAAAGGAAGCTAATTCCAAAGAACTGATGTTTGGGGGGAAAAACTAGACTTAATTGAATGACGAGTAACAAGAGAATGAATTTTAGTAGATGGCACAAGAGACGCTAACTCTTTAGAGCAGTGCCTATTATAGTATTTATAGAAAAGAGAAAAAGAAGCAACATTACTATAATATGACAATGGTTGAAGGTTGGCTGCAAGAGTAGGTCCAACTATGTTAACAATGCATTTTTGCACGTTTTACATTAAATTTTCAACTTTAAAGTCATAACAAATGTTGTAAAGCAATACTTCATAACAAATTTTTTGAACATCTTAGTTTAAAACTGATGTCTAATAACCTAATATCTTACCTTTCTAATAGCCTCATATCTTACCCTTCTAATAGCCTTATATCTTACCCTTCTAATAGCCTCATATCTTACCCTTCTAATAGCCTCATATCTTACCCTTCTAATAGCCTCATACCCTTCTAGTTGTGCTAAACCATTATATAACAAAAAAAAGTAAACTTTAAAAAAAATATTAGATGCAAATTGTGAACAAAAAAAATTTATCAAAAAAACAACAACACCATAAGGCAAATATAAACAAACTTCAGTATCAAAACTAGATCAAAACTTCAAATTTACCTTTTTTAAGCAAAAAATCTGAGACTTTTGACTCATTTTCTAAGTCAGGTGAAGGTACCAATGTAAGATCAAGTTGTACAGATTCATACACAAACAATGCATCAGAGCTGCGTACAAATATTTCATCAAGATCATCTTTTGCACCATCATTTTGTATCTAAAAATATTTTAAATTATTATATTATTATTATTGATATTTAAAAACTAAATTTAAAAAATTTATTGGTACTTTTTTTACTTTAAAAAACATTAATGAATATAAACATCACAGGCCTGCCTTTTGAAATAATTCAAGACCTATTAATAAAACCATGGTTTTGAAACATCAACACTTATCAAGACTAATCTTTGAATTGTTTCATTGTAATAATTTCAAAAAATATATCTTTGCTATCATATCATTGTGTATTACCTTTTATATCTAAATAAAAAGACTTTAAAATTTTTAATTGTTTTTTTTATTTTAAAAATTTATAACTGATATAATGATAACGTCAAGTAACACACGCAACTTCTTTTAAACACATGCAACTTCTTTTAAACGCACGCAACTTCTTTTAAACGCAATATTAAAGTCAAAGTTTTTGTGGAATTTGTAAGAAAAATATCAAAAACAACAACAAAAGCAACATATCATAGATAATTGACTGGCCACTACTTTGAGTACTGTGTACTACCACATTCCTGGTAGTACCCCGCTTAACTTGTTTCTCCATGCAGCAACCTTGTTTGCCAAGATTCAAGATGTGAACATAAAAAATTGAGAGTGTTTTAACCACAATAAAGTAGCCTTCTTGACTGAAGTTGGTTCCTTGGTCTTGGGGAGGTAAATGACATACAAATATATATATATATACATTAAAGCATGGTCGCCTTTAATTTATACCATAAAATATACATAACATAATTTACCATAATAAATACTGTAATTTACCATAATACCATAAAGTATACATACTGTAATTTATACCCTAAAATGTAAACTTTATTTTATAACAATTTACTCTTTTTTTTATTAAATTTATTTTAGAGACCTGTAAAAATTGAAAAATTTTTGCTTAATTGATAAAATGCCTGCCCAAACCAAAATCTCAGTTGATGTAGAAGCACTTGTTGCATGTTCTACCATATCTATATATATATATATATATATATATATATATATATATATATATATATATATATATACATATATATATATATATATATATATATATATATATATATATATATATATACTATATATATATATATATATACTATATATATATATATATATATATATATATATATATATATATATATATATATATATATATATATATATATATATATATAGATATATATATATATATATATCTATATATATATATATATATATATGTTTATATATATATATATATATATATATATATATATATATATATATATATATATATAGATATAGATATAGATATAGATATATATATAGATATATATATATATATATATATATCTATATCTATATATGCGGCAGTGGTGTAGTGGTAAGAGCGCTCGCTTTGTAAGCGAGAGGTTCTGAGTTCGACTCCCACCACGTCCCTGGAAGTACCGCGCTCAACTTAGTTTCTCCGCGCAGCGGCCTTGCTTGTCAAGGTTCGTGTTTCGGAGTTAAAGAGTTGAGAGAGGGTTGTACCACGAAATACAACAAAAAAAAAAATGAGTAGCCTCCTCGACTGTAGTGGCCCCCTCGGGCCTTGGGGAGGTGAATAATGTAAAACAAAAAAAAAAAATATATATATATATATATATATATATAGATATATATATATGTATATATATAGATATATATATCTATATATATATATATATATATATAATAAAATAAATACAATTAGATTTGAAACATAACTCGGAGTTTCACGCTTTATGCGATCATCAGACGTTACAAACAACCGTAACAACAACAAAAATTATATACAAAAATACAATACAGTGTTAGCTTAGATGACGTTAAAGTTGCAAATAACAAATTTGTTTTCGTGGCGACATTTTGATATTAGTTCATTTCGTTTATTCAGTAGTTTCAAAGATGACGTGATGATATGGTATTTTTCGGTTAAGCAAAGGTTACATAACTTTCCTCCAGGTTTAAATGGTTCCGCCATGGAACCATTCCGCCAAAACCTGGAGGAAAGTTATGTAACCTTTGCTTAACCGAAAAATACCATATCATCACGTCATCTTTGAAACTACTGAATAAACGAAATGAACTAATATCAAAATGTCGCCACGAAAACAAATTTGTTATTTGCAACTTTAACGTCATCTAAGCTAACACTGTATTGTATTTTTGTATATAATTTTTGTTGTTGTTACGGTTGTTTGTAACGTCTGATGATCGCATAAAGCGTGAAACTCCGAGTTATGTTTCAAATCTAATTGTATTTATTTTATTATTAATTTAATACATATTTGCTCTACTTTTGTATTGAGCACTCTCTACCGAGAAATTACTTTTATTATTGATATATATATATATATATATATATATATATATATATATATATATATATATATATATATATATATATATATATATATATATATATATATATATATATATATCTATATCTATATCTATATCTATATCTATATATATCTATATCTATATCTATATCTATATATCTATATATCTATATCTATATCTATATCTATATCTATATCTATATATCTATATATATATATATATATATATATATATATATATATATATATATATATATATATATATATATATATATATATATTTATATATATATATATCTATATATATATATATATATATATATATTATATATATATATATATATATATATATATATATATATATATATATATATATATATATATATATATATATATATATCTATATATCTATATATATCTATATATCTATATATATATATATATATATATATATATATATATATATATATATATATATATATATATATATATATATATATATAACAGGGCTCGAAATAGCTGCCGGACATCAGACATTGTCCAACATTGGTCCGGTAAAAATCATCATAAATCGGTCATTTTGTCCGACTAATATTTTTTGTGAAATTTTCTTAAAATTATTTTAGTTATTTAAAAGTTATTGAAATGTTCAGTATATTATATATAAACTTTCTTTTTTATTTTATTTTTTAACCAAAAATGCCCAAGAAAACGAAAGTGTGCACAATGTGATGAAGTTCGTCATTCTTTGAGATAATTCAGATAAAATGGAAACAGTATTATGCCGCAAGAATTTTATTTAATGAGCAACGCTTTTTTTAACGGGGGTTAACATCAACACTTTTTTTACATTTTTCTTTTACATTTTTAAAATATCTTCCCCGTAAATATTAATATTTTGTAAAAAATAAAATTTAATACAACATGTTACGTTTTTAATAGTTTTCTGTTTACTGTGATTTAATTTTGAATTTGAAATTTTCGTAAGGTAAAGCTATTTGTTACTTTTAATTAAACTTATTTCTTATCTTATTCAATTTTGTGAACAGAAGTTTTTATTTTATAAATTTAACAATAAATATATTAATAAAATGTATAATTATATGAGTATAATTATGTATTTTATTAATATAATTATTCACATATAATATATATAAGTTTAAAATATTTATGATAATGTGTTGTCATTGTTCCAACTTAGGGCGTAATATTAAAAAAAAATGGAAGCAGTTTGCTCAGTTTGTCGTGAAAGAAATACAAAGTATACATGCATGAAATGCGCTGTTTTTGTTTGCAATATTTGTGCAACTCCAGGAAAAACTGGCGACTTATCTTATAGTGAGGAAATTAAGAGAATTGCCTTATGTTCAAAGTGTTCAACAGTTGAGCCACCGAAAAATAAAATTCAAAAAACTATATTTTCTTTGTTTAAACCACTTTTAGAACAGTCGCCTGCAGCTAAGTCTATAAATGAAAAAAATGCCAAAGAAGAAACAAGTAAGATCACGGCAAATCCTCGTAAAGTATCAGTATCGACAGTAGAAACTTGGAAGTCGGAGCTCGCTGAGTATTCACTTAGCGAATGGCTATTTTATGACATTGATTCAAATGAAAGAGTAAAAAACTTAAAATGCAAGTTTTGTACAGAGTTTAATGATACAATAAAAACTATGCCATACTATACGAATACATTCATAGTTGGATCAGCAAACTATAGAAAATCGAATATTCTTGATCATTGTAAGTCTCAACCGCACTTAAAAGCATACACTCTTTTTCTTAAAAAATCTAATAATTTTCAAAATGCATCTAAACCTTTATTGCCCTGTAAAAATAACGCAAATATCACTGATGGTTTGAAAAAAATGGAAAAAAACGACCTTGAAAAAACCCTTAAAAAATTTCAACTTTCTTACTTTATAGCGAAACAACAGTTACCTCTTTCAAAGTTTGTTCCAATTGTTAAATTAGTTGAGCTTTTCGGTGTGAATATGGGCGAATCCTATATTTCAGATCGCCAATGCGTTGTATTTATTGACTATATTGCAAGAAGTCTGCAAAATTCGTTACACGATAGCCTTAGAAATGCTAAATTTTATAGTGTATTGTGTGATGGTTTAACAGACAGTTCGGTAATTGAAAATGAAGTGGTGTATGCATTATATTTTGATCCACAGCCAGTTGGGTCGGATGCGGTTTTAAAAAATATTTAGAATCTGGAAAAGCCCAAGGTGTTGTAAAAGTTTTAGAAGAATGCTTTGTAAATTTGCTAACACCTATTAAATGCATTGGTTAAATTGTGGTGGAGAGATAAAGGAAGACGCCCAAACCAAAAACCAACGGGAATTTATAAAGATCGGGTAAACAAAAAAAGAACAATTACATCCCTTAGCGACAGTGAAAATGATAGTGGAGAGGATCTTGTGAAATCTCTTTTTGATGACAATTAAAAGAAAAACATATTTTAATTGTGTAAAAATCTTTAAGCTTTAAAATAAATACAAAATACTGGTCTTGCTTTTATAATCAAACATATTCCTGACGAGAAAAGTTCGTTTATGTATAGACATTACGTTTGCACAATAAATAGCGTTAAATAGAGATAGTTAATACCAATACTCTAAAGTAAAAATGGTTAGCGCGATAGCAAACACAACTATTTATTATTATTATTTTATTAAAAACTGTTTTTATTCTTTTAGAAATGTTGTCGTTTTTTTCCAAAAAAGTCACAAGTTTTTAACTTGTAAGTCTAAACATGAAAGTATAACACGTTTTTTTTTTATACTTTCATAATCTAATTAACACCGCAATACTAATGACTAAGGGTGCACTGTTGCACCCTTAGTCATTGTCTTGGTAACCATCGGCCGATGCCGATTGTTTTGAAAAATGAGTCTTTTTAATTTTGTGTTTCTATATTTTATAAAAAAATATAATTATTATATTTTTTTATACAATATAGAAACAAAAAAATAGAAAAAATTGACTTTTTTAAACAATTGGCATCGGCCGATGCATCGGTGCACCCCTACTAATGACCGCACATACCAGTAGTAAATAATAAATCGGATATTAGTTTTATAGTAAAAATATTTTTTGTTGAAATTTATCGGTCATGTCCGACAAACCAAACAATTTATCGGACAAACTGTCCGGAACAAAAAAGTACGTTATTTCGAGCCCTGTTATATATATATATACACATATATATATATATATATATATATATATATATATATATATATATATATATATATATATATATATATATATATATATATATATATATATATATATATATTATAGAGTTGCAACCCCAAAAAAGACGGTGTGTTTTTTTAAAAAAAAACACGTTTTTTTTGCAAAAAAAACAGACTGGTTCTAAAAACATGTTTTTTATAGTTTTTTTTTGCTTTTTTTTAGTATTCATTAAATTTTAGATAATAATAATACTTGAAACAGTTCCAGTGCCCTTAAACCTACAAAATACAAATGTTTTCTATTTAATAAAATGGATATTAACTTATATAATAGCTGTTACAAACTAATCACCAATATTAAAAAAAAACAGTATTAAATATTTAAAAAAGTAATTTTTTAAATAAATCTCAAAAAAACTATACTATTAGCTACTAGTTGATTGTAAGTATAATACTACTGAATGAAGGAAATAAAAATGTTATTTTAGCAGTGATATTTCATTCATAAAAATGAATGAAATAACACTGCATTGCAAAATACAAAAATGAAGCAACTGTTAAATAAAATTTACTTTAATGTTTATTTACTTTTGTTTATTACTTTTTTAAATTTTTAATATTTAATTTCTTTATTTTATTTTAAATTGCAATTAGATAGCTAAAATTTTATTTATTCAAACAATATTCAAGTAAATAAAAATAACACAATGATTAACTTTGTCTAATGAAAAAACATTTAAATTAAACAATTTGTAATCTATTAATTATTTTTAATTAAAAAAAAAAAAGAAATCTAAAAAAAAATATGCCAGGCAGAAAGAAATGTTTTGTAGCTACATTGTTCAATGAGGCACCTTTATACCTTTTAAACAGAATATGCCTCAATAAACGATATGCCTTTTAAACAGAAGAAAGTTCAAACTGAACTAATGATGGAAGAAGATATTCCTGAAAACTTACCTATTCAAGATATGAAAAAAGAGAAAAAAATATGTTTATCATCTGCTATTCCACAAGTTTCAATTGAGTCTTTCTTTCCAACACCAAGCTGTTTTGGAAACCAAAGTAGGTCTACAACCCCTAAGTTTGGAGACTGTAAGGCAAATAAAAACAAATCAGATGAAAAGGCAAATAAAAACAAATCACAAGAGTTCCATTCACAACTCAGAAAAATAAAATTGCATCCTACATTTTAGGAGAGTACAAGAGTTTAGAGTCAGAGTTATCAAGCGACTCTGAAGAATACGGATTTGACTTTACAATAGAAGACCTTAATGAACAAGAAAGCCAGAATACAGAATCTGTTATTAATTAAAAATAAATCTTTTAAATGATGTACTATATATTTACCATATATCAGGTTATTAATATATATTATATTACATTTATAATAAAAATAAAAATTAAATAAAAGTAAATAATTTTTTTTTTAATCTAAAAAACAAAAAAAAACATAAAAAACACAAAAAACACAAAAAAAACATGTTTTTTTGCAAAAAAAAACACAATTAAAAAAAAACGGTTTTTTTTGCAACTCAAATAAATTTAATAAAAAAAAGAGTAAATTGTTATAAAATAAAGTTTACATTTTAGGGTATAAATTACAGTATGTATACTTTATGGCATTATGGTAAATTACAGTATTTATTATGGTAAATTATATATATATATATATATATATATATATATATATATATATATATATATATATATATATATATATATATATATATATATATATATATATATATATATATATATATATATATATGTCCAATATAGACTAAATAATTTTTGATGTGTTAAAATCAAAAGACTATACTGGCCAAAACATAACTGTTATTAATTTAGATTCTAAATACTTTCTATTTAAATTAGCCGAAAATTAAAAAAAAAAAAAAAATATTCTATCATCTTACATTATCATTGGTATCTTCAAGAACTAGACAATGATGAATAACGCCATTTTTTGATGCTATCATGATAGTAGTTGGTACTGTTTCCATACAAAGTAAACTGCTATAGTCACAACCATAGTTATCTTGAGAAGGAGGATTCATAATTAGTGGACCTTCATGTTCAACTTGCAACCTGTTTTGTGTAAACTTGCAATTCAGTACCCACACATCTCCACTCTCTTGCATGACATATATAGGATATACTTCATTTCCTTTTTTGTCAATTTTTGGAAGAGCAATATCAAAGTCGACAGCTGCATCACCGCAAGCAGTTGCAAAACTACCACACGATTTATTTGGATTTCCAGCTATATTAAACAAGGAAATTCTCAAAATTGGTTGTTCAGGATAAGAAGTATCATAAAATCTAAAACAAATCATTATTAAATAATAATAAGTAATTTAAAGACATATATATATATATATATATATATATATATATATATATATATATATATATATATATATATATATATATATATATATATATATATATATATATATATATATATATTACATACATACATACATGTTTCCTAACCCTTAATTACAATTTTATTACTTTGACAATTAAGCTTCCTTTTATTGCCGTCGAAATGTCAAAGCAATTAAATTAATGCGGAAGTATATTAAATTTTATTGTTTTTTAAAAAAACTGCATTAATAATGGCTAGAAAGTTTTTTTTAATTAATGGTGTTTTTGTTGTTGTTTTATTGAAATACATTTTTAAAACTTGCGCAGAGTGTTGCTACATCGACTATCTTATAGCCTGCTGCTACAAGGGAGTGTTGCTATATCGATAACCTTATAGTTTGACTTGCAACAGAGTGTTGCTACATCAACTATCTTATAGCCTGACTAGTAAAAGAGTGCTGCTACATCGACTTACAAATAGCCTTACCCGCAAGGGAGTGCTGCTACATCGACTGAGGTTTAGACACGCAGTTTATCATTTAAAGAAAAAAAAAATATTTAAATTTTTAAACTTTTTCTGGTCTGGTTTATTAACGCTCTCTTTAAAACTAAAGTTTATGGTAAAAACTTTCTGGCTACCATGCAAGACTATTTTTTATACTAAGACAATTTTTTGAATATTCAAATATTCAAACTTGTTTATTGTTTTAATATGAAGTAAATAAACAAAATGCAAAATCTATATATAAATTAAACAAGGCAAAATAATCATGTAAATATTTATTTAGACTATTTTAATAAGTTACATTTGTTCAGGTACATGCATATATAAGAAATACAGTAAGAATTGATAATAAAACATTACTTTTAAAAAACTCTACTTTTAGGTTGTGGCAACAGTACCATTGCTTTAATTTTTTATCTTAAAATCATGGTAGTAAAGTTTGATTGGTTTATTTTAAGTCACAGCTGGGAATATTATTGGTTGGTTTTGAAAGTTTTATTTGGATAAATTTAAAGAGAATTGCAAATCTACATTGTGCATTTAGCATTGTGGTATCTCATTGGTTCATCTACCCCAATGATCTGCAATCGAATCCTTTATTAAGAAAATATTTTAAAATGTTTTTTAACTATTTTTTATTGAAAGTTATTGTTGTTGTTATTTATTGAAAATTACATTGATTTTTATTTATTTACATACATCGACTGAATTAGGGATAGGCGCAGTGAGTGTACATACATCCACTGATTTAAAGATAGGCGCAGTGAGTGTACATACATCTACTGAATTAGGGAGAGGAGCAGTGAGTGTACATACATCGAATGATTTAGGGATAGGCGAAGTGGAGCACACATACATAGACCGATTTAGAAATATTTAGAGCACATACATCGATAAAGGGTTTGGGTTTAAGCATGCATTCTTTAAATAAAAGAAAAAAAATCAAACAATCAGAAATCACTACTGTGACTTTAAGAAAAAAATTAAAGCAACGGTACCATTGCGTGAGCAACAGCATTACTTTTAACTAACTTATTAACAGTTTACTAAATACTGTATCTTATATAAGAAGTTAAGCTATAAAGACAAAATCTTCAACAACATCAATAACAAAAGTAGGTCTAACACTCCATCTCTTATTCATGGGACCAATCTTATTACCTCACCAAAAAAAAAAAGCTGAACTATTTGCAAAGAACTTTTCTTCTAACTTGCGTCTCATGGTTAAACACTTCTTTCTATTCCAGTAAAACAGGTTAACCCATTGTTAGACACTCAAATTACTCTAGCTTTCATTGCTCAAGTCATATCTCCATTAAACTCATCTACAGCTTGTGGTCTAGACAACATTCATGTCATAGTCTTATAAAAGTGTTCTCCAGACCTCTCTCTATTCAACTAAACTAAACTATTCAATAAGGACTTGACTGAATCTTGTTTCCTGCCTGCTAGAAAATGGCATTTGTGGTTCCAATTTTTAAAAACTCTGGAGAATATTCTGACCCCTCTAACTACTGTCCTATCTTCTATCTGTTATTAGCAAGGTCTTTGAGTTTTTGACCAACAAATTTCTAGCATCTTTTCTTGCGTAACAGACAATCAATATGGTTTTCAAACTTCAAACTCAATGGCTGACTTGCTAACTGCTGTGACTGAAAGATTTAATTGAGCATTAGGTGCAGCCGATGAGCTTAGGGCTGTTGCTCTTGAAATATCTTATACTTTCTATAAGGTTCGGTGTGATGGTCTTCTCCATAAACTTGCTTCACGTGGCGTATCTAGGAAAGATTTTGAGGTTATCAAATTATTTCTTTGTAAAAACTTTATCAAAGTCATTTTCGAAGGCCAATAGTTTACTTCATTTCTGATAACTTCTGAGGTACCTCAAGGTTTTATATTTGATCTTGTTTTGTTAATTATCTACATTAATGACCTTCTAGAGAATCTTACATCTAAAGTTGCTCTATTTGCTGATGACTCGATTTTATACTCCTGTCTTGTCAAAAAGTATTCTCTTTTCGATCGCTTAAAACAGACAGCTCTTCTAGACAAGGCCTAAAACCCATTGTAAATATAGTTGGACCTGCTTTATCTGCCAAGTTTGAGCCTCTTTCACAATTTATGCTTTATCTGCCAAGTTTGAGCCTCTTTCACAAGCTATCACAAATATATAAATAAAACCAACATCAAATGTTAATCCAAAAATAAATATTTAAAGGTTTTGTATCTTGTGCTATTAAAATTTGTTTCACAAAGTATCCTAATGATGAAATACAGTTTTTAGTAAACATGTTTACTAAAAACTGAAAATGGACATGATAGATTCAAGTATGAAACAACTGCCAAGAACTATATTCAAAAAAGAAACAGCCTTTCTAATATAAATTATAATAAAACAGAAATAAGTAAATATAGAGTTAAGCTATGGCTCCGAAAAATAGGTCCAAAATTTAGAAAATAACTTAAAACTTACACAGTTATAATAATTTTTACAACACCACCTACCTTAAAAAACATCTTTTGCAGCAACAAGTCAAAATTAATTTATTATTTATGTTGTTATGTAATAATTTATGGCTTCTTTTAAATGTCTTCTTTGATTTTTTTTATGTACATTTTGTAACTATGAATGTGTGTTAAGATAATATCTTTGGTGTCACGCTAAAATAGCCTACTGCTGGGAGCTTCAATACATAAATCGACTATCTAATAACCTGCTGCATCGACTGAGGATTTGGCATGAGGCATTATTCTTTTATTTCATTATTCTTTGTTTATTTCTTATTTTTCTGAAAACCCCATATAAATTAATGTAACAAAAATAGGTTAACAATTTGTTATGCTATAGTAGATATATAAATATATACATATATATAAATATATATATGTATATATATATATATATATATATATATATATAATGTATATTTATATATATATACAAATGTATATTTATATATATGTATATATATATATATATACATATATATTTATATATATATATATATACATATATATATATATATATATATATATATATATATATATACATATATATATATATATATATATATATATATATATACATATATTGAAAAAATAATTCATTGCATAATAAACTGCAATGCTTTAAAAGGTACCGTTATTGCAAAAAATATATATATATATTATTTATAAAATTTTTTGTTTTATGTATAAGTTTTATATTTTATATATTAATCACTTAAATATATTACAACCTTCTATAAATTGTTATTCATCTTCTCATGGCCGAGATGGCCACTGCAGACGAGGAGGCTACTTAATAATGGTTATAACCCTCTCTCAACTCTATAACTCCGAAACACGAACCTTGACGAACAAGGCCGCTGCGCTGAGAAACAAGTTGAGCGCGGTACTACCAGGGACGTGGTGGGGATCGAACTCGGAACCTCTCTCTTATGTAAGCGAGTTGAGCAACAATTCCCTTCTGAACACAGCCTGCACAAAATATTTAACAAAAAGTCAAATAAGACCAGTTATTCTTGAATGCCAAACATCCTTGGTAACCATAATTGGTTTGCACAATAGAAATATTTTATTTAATGAAAAGAATATAGTAAAACAAAAAAATGTAATCGAATTAATAAATCTGCCTGCCCATAGAGCAACAAATGTCTATCTAATAACATTGTATACCAAGCAACAGTATGTTCTAACAATCCTAAATACTAAGACAAAGTACTAACTAAAGTGCAACCTTGAACTTTCGATCATTGCTATAGAGATGTTAGAACTGTTGTAAATATTCTGTTGTATTAGTTAATTTAAAAAAAAAATTATTTTAATTTTTGAAATTGTATTTAATTTTTATTTTAGGTGCCCAAGAAGTCCTTACTGTCTTATCACAGAGCAACGCGAACGAGCATTTGAAAGGAAGTTCACGCCTCCTTCCTTACCAATTTTATAAAACTTGCCCAGAGCACAGTGGGCCAGAATTCACTTTTACTGGAAAAAATTCATAACTAATTTAATATTAGGGCTATAATCACTAAAATTAGTATGAGTACTAATATGATGTATGCCCTTTTTATGAAGGTGCTATTTTTTTATTTCGTTGCTATGGATACTTATATTGCTCAGTTACAATATCCTTAGTTACAATGGGGTAAACAAAATGTCGTTAGAACATTGTTAATTTGTAGCAATAAACATATAGTAAACAGATGGCAGTAAAAATGTAATAATATAATATATTTACACAAAATCTTTAAATGGTACTTCTTTTAGTAGCTCTAGCACTCTATCTGGAAAGTCTTTCTTCTTTGGATGATGTGGTGTTCTCAAATTACTAATAATTGGATCAGATGAACACATCATTCTCCTTAACAAGTCTTCATTTGTTTTAGAACAGGAGCACTTTCTTGAAAAAGACTCCCAGAACTTCTTGAAGTCCTTGTTACGTACTTCTTGTGCCCCTTCACTGAACATGCCAATTGGCAAAGCCATTCGATCCACAACTTGCCAACCATTAATAAGAATTCAGTGCAGGCTCTGTGGCATGTGGTACCATGGGTACTAGGGTGTCCCAAAAAACAACTTTTTTAAAAATAATCTGCTCTCACCCCCTAAATGTGTTCTATCTAATACAAAAACACTAAGTTTAAATTTTTTTCAATAAAAAATATTTTAAAGGGTCCCTCAAGACCCTCGAGTATTTAATGGGTCCCTAATATTTTCAAAAAAAAAGTTTTTAAAAATTATGTCAGCCTGGTACTCAAATCAACCAAAATTATATAAAAATTTCAAAAATAATGTTCATTTCAGAAAAAATGATACATAACGATATTTCCCTTAAAATATACAATATTTGCCAAAACAAAAAACAATTTTCTGTAAAAAATCGCCGATTTTGTTAAAAAAAAAAAATATTGTTTAAGTACGTATCGTTTTTTCTGAAATGAACATTATTTTTGAAATTTTTATATAATTTCGGTTCATTTGAGTACCAGGTTGTTATAATTTTTTAAAACTTTTTTTTTTTGAAAATATTAGGTACCTATTAAATATTTGAGGGTCTTGAGGGACCCTTTACATTATTTTTTATTAAAAAAAAATTTAAACTTAGTGTTTTTGTATTAGAACACATTTAAGGGGTGAGAGCAGATTATTTTTAAAAAATTTGTTTTTTGGGACACCCTAATGGGTACTGGTTCACATATCGTTCAGCTGTTTGCATGCAGAAGTCTCTAAATCGAGAAGAGTCAATAACATACTGTGGCCATAAAGTGCACAAAATAATATGCAATTTCTTAATGATGATGACATCTAGTTGGAGAATTTCAGCAGTCTTCTCTGCATTTTAAAAAAATCGTCAAGCAATATTCTCAGTGTTTGAAGATCCTTGGAAAATTAATTAAAAGCCCAATCACGAAATTTCTTTAGAATTGATGTCTTTCTTGAATTACTTTTTTTTCTGATGGTTCTTGTATTGACCATTTCTGTATTGCTAATTTGTAGCTTATTTTGAAAAGGCATTCCATAGTTCTGATCCATGCATGGAGAGTTAATAACCCATAATTGAGTCCAGTTTTAGTAACTGGAAGATTTTTTGCAGTATTTCAGTCATTCATTTTTTTTGGATTGCAACCACAAACTGAGCAGCATTGGGATAATTTTGTTGCTGTGGATAGTGCTGTGGCAACTTTCCTATCCACCATTGTAATTTCAATTTTGTGCAGAACTGTTCATTTGTCATACTTTGTAGTAAATAATTTTTCTATTGAGTTGTAAAGGAATTGTTCTTCTTCTTTTATTACATCTGATGTTTCTTTTTTATAGAAGAATCTTATTGGTCTGCAACATAAAGTGGATGATGGATGTGGGTTGGACCATCATCCACTTTATTTTGCAGACCAATAAGATTCTCCTATAAAAAAGATATCACATCACATATCCAAATAACTGCAAAGGCACAAAGCAAGTGAGGAATAAGCTGGCTTCATTTGTAATATTTCTGTTTTATTCTTCTGTTGTTATTTGAGTATAAAGGCTTTGGCCAGTTGATCCATCAAAGCCAACTTTGGACCTTAGGGTCATTCGTTGAAAATTTTCTAAGAAGTTAATAACTTCTGCCTGAAATTCTATTAAATGTAGTGCTGTAACATTGACCAATGCTTGCATGTTGACCTTTGCAGAATAGTCAATGAGAGTTCAAAAGTTTTCTCTGTAAGACAAAATACTTTTGCTTCGCGTACATTATTATAAGCTGGATATAAATTACAGCCTTTTCTTACAGCATTGTTCCTTAGACGCTGATAATCAGACTAGCTCAGATTATTATCTAAGATGAGTGCTAAGGCTTCGTTGGGAGTATTTTGAACATTTTCATCAGTTTAAGTTTTTGATAAATTTCTAACTACCTTAGCATGCTTTCTCCTTCCTTGTTTCCAAAGTTTGCAACTGCTAGCAAACAACATCTCATTTGAAGAACTTGCCAATGATTCAAGTTTTGACACTTTCCTCTTTTTAGATTTATCAGATGATTCTTTAAATGATTTACAAGACCTGCCAAGAGATAATTTAGGTGTAGTTTCTGTATTGCATAAAGAAAAAGTTTGCTGGTGACTAATAAAGTCTTTGCAAAGCAAGGCTAAATTTTTATCCAAAAATATATCATTGTAACGTCCGCTTGCAGCCCATCGCTTTCTGAATTCAAAAGTAAATTTTGAAAACTGAACCTTACATTTAGTATTGCCAAGTTGTTCACTAATAAAATTAAAAACTACCAGCTTATCTTTTTCAATGATAATTTGTTGATAATGATAATTTGTTTTCTCTTATAAATAAATGGATTTGATTTCTATTAATGCTTGACATAATAACAATAGTCTAAAGTTAAAAATAAAACAATTTGTCAATAGGTTTTCATTTATTTTATGTAGAAATATTTTCTTTTAATTATTATAATATTAACTATAATTAAATAGTCTTATTTTTGAATCAAAATATTCATTATATTATAACATATTATATTATATTATTTTGTTCGTGATGTTATATTTTATATATAATATTTTTGCAAATCATTGCAAATAAAAATTAATTTAGCAAATATTAGCAGCTAAATTAAACATATTTTCATAATATGTATATAAAATCTTTAAAATGTATATATAATGTAACAGGATACTAGAAGATCTTCTATTTTTTGTATTTTTTAAACCAAAAAATACACTTCAAATTTTCTTTTAATGAAGTATTTAAAATTATTATAACTTATTTGTTTTCTTACCTATTTTAATCTAACAACTCTTAAAATGCAGAAAATAGATAGTTCCACAATAAAATAATTAATGCGCAATATTTAATACAATGTTACATTATTGCCATAGATTTCGTAAATAACATATTTTTTTTTCTAATTTATGTTTGCATATACTTTGACCACATAATTAGTCTATTAATTAAAATTTTAGGTGTATATAAAAGGTTTTAAATTGTTTCATAATATCTATAAAAAGGTTTAAAACCATTATGACATCAAAATTCTGACTTTGGTTTTTATACTTTTGTCCAGTCACTGGCCCACTGTGCAGAGGTGGCATGGAACCACAGATCTCTTGTATCTGGGGCAAGTGCGCTAACTGCTGCACTACAGCTGATTATATATATATATACACACAATTACAAATACTTGATTAGATAAGCACTATGACATCACATTGAAATAGCTGAGGGGATTTCAGTAAATTGATTATATTATAGTGCAGCCTCTAAGAAGTATATACATCAACTCAGGGTTTGGCATGGGGCAGCGATCTTTTCTTTCATTATTCTTAATTTTTCTTCTTCTTTTTCTAAAAAACTATATGCTATAAAGAAAGAAAAAACTAGCATTTGCTGATCTATATATGCTATAATAGATATTACATATACAAATGTAATTAAATACACATAAAAAATAATAAAAATATTATTAATAAACCTTATGCTATTGTCATTAGTCAATACCACAATATGACCATCATTTGGACTTCCACTGTACCAATGACATTGAATTATTTTCAAAGACGAATGGTGTACGTAATAAGACTCATCCACTAAAGACATTCTGTAATAAAAATAAATTTTTAGATTAAAAAACTCACCTGGTTCATACCCTCATTGTACTAATAATCCAATTAAAAAGAGGTAAACTGTAGTGTTTACTGTAGGGTAATTTAATTTTAACTTTAAGTATCAAACTTTAGTGTAACAGATAAACTGTAGTGTAACCCAATATTAATTTACATATTTATTGTATATATAAATACTATTTTGCAATAACTTGGTATTATGAAAGTAAGAAAGTAAGATCTAAAAACTAAAACAAGGTTCTTTTTTTTTTTTTTTTTTTTTTTTTTAATGTTGATTTAGGTGCCCAGAGGTGGGGTTTGAACCACGGATCTTACGTTTCTGAGGCAAGTGCGCTACCACTGCGCCACGGCTGCTTTAAGGTTCTAAAAAAAAGGTGACCCAAAATGCATTAACCCTAACACACAGGCTTCAAAATGCACTATTAGACACTTGGAGATGCCTCTCATCATCAAAGTAACAAACTTAAAAATCAAACAAATAACCAATTAATACAAACCTCGCTTTAGGTAATATAAAACATTCTTAATAACACACTCCACTAGATATTTCATTCATTAAGTTATGCATGCAAAGCATGTTTTTAAAATTAAAAATAAAAAAACCAACTAATAGTGAAAACCACAGATTTTTCAAGATTTTAGTTGAAACCACAGATGTATGTATGTTGAGGTTTTAACAAACACCACAGGTGTTTGAATCTTAAAGTTTGAGGTAAAACTACAAATGTATGTATTTTGAGGTATGAAGTTCATTATACAATTTGTCAATTTTTATCAATTTGATTATAAGAAAGATAAAAAAAACTGAGTTATTCTATTATATAAAAATAAGTGAACAAACATAAGGGAAGTGACCAAACATAAGGGAAGTGACCAAACATAAGGGAAGTGACCAAACATAAGGGAAGTGACCAAACATAAGGAAAGTGACCAAACATAAGGGAAGTGATTTTTAAAAACATTTTAAAGAGTATTTAAATAAAAACTTTTTAAAAAATTAAAACTGATAATAAAATTATTGAAACTTTTTTTTTAAACAATAAAAAAAAAATTGAAGTAATAAAAACCTGCTAAAAAGGCATGCTTTTAGAACAGTTATTTGACAAAAAAAAAGAAGACTTTTTGTCAAGGAGTATAAAGTTGAGTTGTCAAATATTAGACTCTTTAGATGTAAGATTGTCAGCAAGATCAATAAAGCAGATAGAAAATAATACAGAAGCAAGGATAAAACTTTAAGGTACCCCAAATGTCACTGGAAATGGATAAGAGAGTTGGATTAAATAATTTCAAAAAAAACTTTACCATACACACCATATGAAACTTATGGAAAAGATCAGCATGCAAAACTTGATTGAAAGCTTTAGATATATCACAGCAGTTAGCAAGTCAGCTGTAGAACGGAAAGATCAAAATCCATGATTGTTATAGAGTAAGTTTGATCCCCAATACATCTTTGGCAGTACCGTGCTTAACTTGTTTTTCTGCACAGCGGCTTTGTATGTTAAGCTTTTTATTTTTGGAGGTAAAGAATTGAGAGAGGGTTAAAACTACAATAAAGTAGCCTATTTGTAACTTGTTAAAATCTTGTTGTTTAAAGATCTTGTTAATAATAGAAAGAAGACTGATCCAAGGATCAGTCTATCCTAAAGCTGACTAGGATAGAATTCTATTCAGCTTTAGGATAGTAGTAAGTAGAGTGTTGATAGGGTCTAAAGTTCAAAGAAGAAGTCTGAGATTAAGAAATACAGAATAGGTATAGGCTACTGTTATAAAAATTAAAGGCTTAGTGTCAGCAGGGTCAGTAGTGTTAGAGCCAAGCCATACAGTGTGATGAGCATTAATGTCACCAATAACAATATTATTGGCAGAGGGGTAAAGAGAAAGGAAATGGTCACTTTAATCAGAAGTTATATCTTTTTATATATATATTATTTTTTTATATATATTATTTTCTTTAATCAAAAGTTTTGAGAAGAAAGAGAATGATAAAGAAAAAATTTTAAAGGTGATAAAGAAAAAAAGAAAAAATGATAGATTAAGGAAGCGCTAAGCCTAAGCGCTAAGCCACTTAAAAGAAGATTGAAACCTGATTTCTTAACGAATAAGTGAATTGATGCATGATGAAAGTACATGCCGAAGCCAAGCATGTGACAATTGAAATCTTAGTGAATCAAAGGATAGTAGCCATTAATGATAAGATCTAAAGAAGGAACAAATTTTAAATTATTCTCGCAAAGTGAGATGAACTTTGCAAAAGGTAAGATTCAATTGATAAAAAGTTACTTTGATGACCACAAATATTTGTGAAAATTGAAACAGCTAGGTGATAGTTCTTTATGTTTAATACTATTGGCTATTTTGGGCATAAAAGTTAAAAAGAACTTGACTCATTCCTAGATAGACCATGGCATTCCAAGCAATGAGCTATGCAGTTCTCTCAGTCCTGCTAATTAACCTTAAGTTATAACTTAGGGCTCCTTATGTGGTCTCACAATGAACACCTAAGGCACTAACAGGGATACCATCTATGTGCAACATGGCACTGTTAATATTCTGATATTTTTTAGTTATTGATGGAATAAATCTCTCTGAGAGCTACCACAGAGTTCAGGAAACTTTACTACCAGCCAGCATTAGAACCATTAAACTGAGTTTTAGAGCTGTACCCTCATTAGGAGTTAACAGAAACAGTTGCAAAGTCACAATTATAAAGGCACAAGAAAGATCTATGAGTAAATTTCTGCTAACTCTTACATGCCTTTGTCAAGGAGGCCTTCTGCAAAGATAATTATTTTTATCAAGATACCATTTTTAGCCTAAAATTTATTTCAAACTGAGACTCTTAACAAACAAAAGGATTGAGTTATAAAAAAAGTTTGCAAGATTATGTTATGTAAAAGCTACTTCCTGATACCAAAATACATAAGGAACTATGCAGGCTTTGTTTTAAATAAAAATGCTTAATGTATTAGTCTAATGTGAATTAAACGTCATAAAATTTTCCTTATTTTTTTTTTATTAATTATTACCTTATTATTAATTAAATAAGTTAAATAAATGTTAAATAAATGTAGAGATACTATTAAGGAATATATATTTTCTTTCAACATTTTTTTTTTTTAACATCACTTCTGACTAAGCTGCAAGCAACCACTATTAGAGTTGGAAGTTATTGGAAAAGAAAAGTTTATAAAGCAAGATAGTGATTAATATACAACTTAAAAGATTGTAAATTATATGAATTAGGAAAACAATATAAAGAAAACTCCAATGAACTAATTTGCAATGAAAAAACTAGACGAATAAGAATTTTTGGAGCCTTTAGGAGAAGTCACAGTAAAAGGATGAGATATAGTTGAATAACGAGTAATGTAAGAATAAGTTTTAGTAGATAACACAAGAGACACTAGCTCTATAGAGTACCAACCATTATAGTATTTAGAGAAAAGAGAAAGAGAAGCAACATCTTAACAATGTGAAAATGGCTGCAGGAGCAGATCTAACAATAATTACCAGAAGCTAGAGTGATACAAAAGTCAGGCCTGTTTGTCTGCTATGTTAGGTAGAACAATCCAGCCTTGTCTTTAGGTGAGGTGATAAAATCTGAACCATACAAGAGAGGTGGAACAACAGATCTGCCCTTATTATACTGTTAAAGATTCTCTAGAAGTCACAAGAGTCTGATTTTTCAGATGAAATAAGAAATTTTGTGACCTGACAATAGCCAGCTTTAACATTAGACAATGCCTTTTCACAATAGTAATAGTAAATGGACATTTGTTTTCTGGACAGTTGTTTTGTTGATAGATATGAAAGTAATGATTAGCAGCACAATGAGAGGAAAACTATGAAGAAGAGTGATGTTTGACTTAAAATCGTCAAGAGGGAATAAAAGATTTTATGCCCGTCTGAATCCAAGAAGTTATATAAGAAGCACATTTTTTAGCAGGAAGACAAAAGATATCTACCCATGGGCCATCATGACGAAAATTACGGAAAGACTCCCAGTTAGCTTTAAGGTAGTTGTAAGTGGTACAATGAAATAACAACTCTAGAGTGACCAAACTGTGATCAGAAGCACCTAAGGGTTGGAGAAACTGACCAAAAACAAGGATCAGAAACAAGACATAAGTCGAGTAGAGAAGGTAAATGAATTAATTTTATTTCTTAAATTTTTAATTATGGATTTGCAACTAAAAAAGATATTTCATTTAAAAAAATTAGCTAGTAACAAATTAAAAAATTATATATTAATAAATTAAGTAAATAAGTTTTTATTAAAAGCTTATTAAGCTTATTAAGCTTAATAAGCTTAAGCTTAATAATAATAAATAAGCAATTTTGTTGTGAAAGCAAAGATTCTTTTTCTAAACAACATTTGTTAAAATTATATTGCTGTATATACCTTTTATTAAAAAATAATCACTGCACATTAACATGTTATAAAAAAAAATTTAACGTTTGTTTTGTACAAATTTTGATGCAGCCTCAGAACACATTTATAAGGAATTTAATTTTTAGTAAAAAAAAAATGTTTAGGAAGAAAAACCGAAAAAAATAATTGCAACAAAAATGAGCTAACTTTTTCTAAGGAATAAATAAAATTCTAATATTAAAGAATATTTAGTAATATTTTTAAATAAACTTGTTATTTAAGTTAAATAAATTAAACAAACCATTAACTTTAATTTTATTAAACTTCATTATTTTAATCAGAATTAAATAATAATTATTTTTTAAATCAAATTCAAATTTTTTTTTTCAGAAAAAAATTATATAGTTTTATCAATTAGTTAAAAATTAAATCATCAGTTTTTCATTAGAATTGAATTATGCATTTAATTATATTTATCAGAATTAAATTATGTATGTTTTTCATAAGAATTAAATTATTTATTTAAATTTATTTAAATTAAATAACACTTGAAGTTTCAGCCTTTTTCATGCCAAAAACTCTTTCATTACAATAAAATAAAAATAAAAACAAAATAAAAATTATCATAATATAAAATATTATGATAATATTAAATAAAATTTAACTTTTTTTTATTATTAAATACAAATTTAAGTAATTTTTTTTTATTGCAAGATGATGAATAAAAGTTCTTAACTATATATATTTTATTTATGGGATTTTTTCTTACATTTAAATAACTTTGTTTACAAAAAAGATTTGTTGATATCTATAAACAATTTTGGTTTCTGTTACAAAATATTTCAATAAAATAGCTAAAGAGAGATTAAGTTTTGAATTTTATTTGAATTTTTTTCATTAGTAATTAGAGCTAATATAATAAATAGTTATAGAGTTGAGAGAGGGTTGTAACCACAATTAAGTAGCCTCCTTGTCTGTAGTGGCCTTCTCTGTCTTGGGAAGGAAGATTAAAATTTCAAAAAAAAAACTTTTTATTCAAACTTTAGTAACAAACTTTTTTCTTTAATCGCCATTCAAAAGTGGTTTTTTATAAAATTAACTACTTTTTTTCTTACTGCTTATCAACTAATTTAAAAGTTAAATAATGATAAAAAGATGTATGTAAAACAGCTTAATGAGCAAATAAATTGTGCAGCATAATGCTTTAAAACAAGGCCTGGTAATGGGTTTTGCATTATTATTTGTCATTTTTTAAGAAAGGAAACCTCCCATTAAAACTTATTGATAGATGAGTTAAAACCAACCAGCAGCTCTACTTGAATGACAATTTTGAAAGTCTTATGTGAAACCTTATGCAGACAGAATGTTTTCAGCGAGATTTAGCCATGACATACAAAGCAAAAACCATTCAAATATTGTGTGAGAATTTCCCTTATTTAATTCCAGTGTCAGAATGAAATTCCTAACAACCTTGCCCATACCAGCTGTGATTTTTTCAAAAGAGTTTATGTGTATCAAAGGAAATGGAGAAGCATTTAAAAAAAATAATTTTTCTATTAAATATTAATGTAACATTCAAAATAGTTTTTTATAAACCAAAACAGTCCTCTAGTTCTTTGAACACAAAAAATATGGGATATTAATAAATCTGTACAAAATTGCTAATGTTGAGAATGTTTTTTGGTACAGACTAGATTTAGATATAGTAACATCTAAAACTTTCAATAAAAATTATCGATTTTGAAACTGTATATTTTATATTTTCATTATTATTAATCATAATGAAGACAATATTCATACAAAGTTATTTTAAAAATAAAACTCATTAAAAGGATCCCAAAGCGCAGAAATGTTCATATCTTAAATAAACTATAAAAAATAAGTTAATTAAATGAAATGAAATTAAAAACATGTTATTTATTGAGATATTAAAAACTTTTTTATTTTTAATGTCATATTGTCTTGGTCGAAGAAAAGTTCCAACTTGTTGATTTTTTCCTTTAAAAGAAATCTGGTCTGACTAAGACATTTATCTTTGATGTCAATAAAAATATGGATTGTTGTTTAAGTTAAATTATGTTTATATGTTTAGTTTTTACCTTTTGTAATATGTTAGCTAAAATAAAATCTTTTTTTAAAAAAAAATAATTTAAATAATAACTTGCTAACTTGCTATTATTAATAGAATAAATTTTTTTTTTTTAATTTAAATATTATTATAAATTGCTAACTCGGCTCTTATTAATAGAATAAAATTTTCTTTTAAAATAATTTAATAACTTGCTAACTTGCTATTATTAATAGAATTTTTTATTTATTTATGACTTGTTTTATGAATTCTTAATATAACGAAGAGTTTAAAATAAAAGTTCAAAATAAGTTGCTCGAATTAAATCTAAAAACCAAAAATATTTTCGTTAATAATAAAATATAAAAATAAACTTGTTGAAGAAACCAATTTTTTTTTTTTGTTGATAGAAGCAGTTATTTAAGAAATTTAAGAAAAACCAGATCAAAATTTAGTTTTTTATTTTACCTGTCCTGTTTTTATACAATATTACTTTAAACTCAATTAGGTCTTACTATTAATAATAAAGATAAAATAAAGTACAAATACTTTATTACATTAAAATTAGATGAGACAAAATTTTTTTTTTTTTTTTTTTTAGTTATTCACCTCCGAGAAGGCCGAGAAGGCCACTACAGACAAGGAGGCTACTTAATAGTGGTTATAAACCTCTCTTAACTCTATAACTCTGAAACACGAACCTTGACGAACAAGGCCGCTGCGCGGAGAAACAAGTTGAAATGGAGGAACAAGTTAAAAATGATAAATTTATAGGACAAATGAAAGTTAGATCAAAAATTATTTACTGAACTGAATGAAAACTTTTTGCTTCCGAACTGAATAAAAACTATAACTGCAATAA